GCCTTCTCTGGATCCAGATGACCCAATGAATTATAGACCAATATCTAACCTTCCATTTTAATCCAAAGTCCTGGAGAAAATAGTGGCCATCCAAGTATGTGAGCATTTAAACACTAATGCTCTGTTTGAGGAATTTCAGTCTGGTTTTAGAGAGTATCACAGCACTGAAACTGCATTAGTGAGAGTTACAAATGATATTCTCATGGCCTCAGATAAGAATCTTGTGTCTGTTCTAGTCTTGTTAGATCTCAGTGCTGCCTTTGACACAGTAGATCACAATGTTCTTGTAGAAAGACTTGAACATGTTGCAGGGATCATAGGAACAGCTGGTTTAAATCCTACCTGTCTGGCAGATTTCATTTTGTAAATGTACATGACAAATCTTCTTCATACTCCAGGGTTACTTGTGGAGTACCACAGGGTTCAGTGTTTGGACCAGATCTTTTTACTATATATATGCTCCCAATTCCCAAAATCATTAGACAGCATGGGATAAACTTCCACTGTTATGCTGACGATACTCAGTTATATTTATCCATTAACCCTGATGAAACAAATCGGTTAGTTAGATCACAGGCTTGTCTTGAAGACATAAAAATTGGATGACTCTAAACTTTTTGCTTTTAAATCAAGACAAGACGGAAGTTCTCATCTTTGGAACTGAAATTCAGAAAAGGAAATTGCTTAGTCAATCACCTGACCTGAATGGCATTAAATTAGTTTCCGAGAACAAAGTAAGGAACTTGGTGTTACCTTTGACCAGGACATGTCATTCAAATCCCACGTTAAACAGGTTTGTAGGATTTCCTTTTTCCACCTTCGGAATATTGCCAAGATTAGATGCATCCTTTCCAGGAGTGATGCTGAAAAAGTAGTTCATGCATTTATTACATCAACACTGGATTATTGTAATTCATTACTCTCAGGAAGTCCACAGAATGTAGTTAAAAGTCTTCAGCTTGTCCAAAATGCTGCAGCTAAAGTTCTGATGACAATTAAAAAGAGAGATCATGTCTCTCCTGTCTTAGCTTCCCTACATTGGCTGCCTGTTAAATTCAGAATAGATTTTAAGATCCTCCTTCTCACATATAAAGGTCTTAATAATAAAGCTCCATCATACATCAGTGACCTGATTGTTCCATACGTTTGTAACCGAGCACTTTGCTCTCAGACTGCAGGTTTACTGGTGGATCCCAGAATATCTAGAAATAGGATGGGAGGCAGATCTTTTAGTTATCAGGCTCCTCTCTTGTGGAACCAGCTCCCAGCTTTAGTCCGTGAGGCAGACACCTTGTCTACTTTTAAGAATAAGCGTAAAAATGTTTTATTTGACAGGGCCTAAGGTTAAAATCTGATGTTAGCCTAGATCTGGACAAGTGGGGGAGTAGAGGGAGGTGGAGTGTACAGTCGGTAAAGACGACTCTCCCTTGCCCTGCCTCCAACATGCCTCCATCTAAAAGGCTAGGTTATCCAGAGTGATCTCTGTAGTTATGCTGCTATAGGCTTAGACTGCTGGAGGATGCACTGACCACTTTCCACACTCGTCTACTTTCTTCTACAATTTGCTCTTTAACTGTATTATTTCCAGCTATTTCAGCTGTTAACTTGATTTTTTCTCTATGTGTTTTTCTCCCCAGAAGAAACTACAATGATGTTCTGCTAAGCTGTGGTGGCCTCATGGAGGAGGCCATCGTCTTGAACACTGTTGCTAACTACTTAATCATTCCCCCTCTCCTGATAATAACATTTTACTTTCCTTGACATTGAATGTGCTACTACTGGTTTACCCGTTTAATTATACAAGATTCATTAGAATAAATACAATAAAGTTTATCTCTCACCAAATAGAATATTTACTAAGAAATCACAATGTAACCATAGAAACACTCCTTGGTGTGTGTGTTGTATGTGTGTGTGTGTGTGTGTGTGTGTGTGTGTGTGTGTGTGTGTGTGTGTGTGTGTGTGTGTGTTAGGGGCTGCATGACTTCATTTTTTTTAAAGTCGACCGTCAAGTAATGAAAATCGAGTCAACTTCGACTAGTCGTTGATGACGTCATACACCTGAAGCGGCTAAAACCGATGATGGGTGACCAAGTGCTGGAGTTTTTGACAATTAAAATTGCGCCCACATTTTCAAAGTTAAACACATCTCTTTTAACAACGGTAGTTTCTGCATCTTGCTTCAGCCCTCTCCCCCCACCCCCTGTGCAGTGGCCGCAAACTCACTGATGCGCCAGCAGCCTCCCAGAGTTTCTGCTGCTCTAAACATTAAAATAATTATTTCATTTTCTGTTCCTCACTTCTGATTACCTTCAGCGGTGTTTGTTTGTTGCAACCACCAGGTATAAAAATGAACTTGTTTTTATTTGACTATTTTTCTGTCCTGTCTCTGTTTATTATCTTCCTGCGTCTCCTCTCAGTCCTAAAGAAAAACTGCCACCTGGGTTCGTATATATTCACCTCATGAGTTACCTTTGAACGGCAGTTAAACAAGATCTACCGACCGCAAAAATAGCGGAGTGCGCACCTGCCGCACCGGTGAGGGGCATCACAGGAGGACAAAACAGGTGATGCGCTCCGCTCCACGGCAGCAAAACGCATCAGGCTCAAATAAAAGACAGAAAACATATAAGGAAATGAGCCGACACGAACGATCGCCTGTTAAATTTGTTTTTCAGGTGGCAACACCTAATTTGAAAATGTTACTGTAGCCGTGTTCAGGACGCAGATGTCTGGAGCGCGTCAACGATTAGAGCTTTGCATGCGCAAGCTGGTTAAGATTAGGATGGGGGTGAGGGGAAACACAGCGCGTCGGCTCCCAACGCGCAGGAGCTCGTCACCTGCTGTCTTGTCCGAGGACTGCATCTTGTCGGTCATAATCATGTGACAGCGACTAGTCGATGACAGGCATAAAAAGTCACTGCAGAGCAGTGAAGTGGACTAATCGACTAGTTGATACAACCCCTAGTGTGTGTTTCTACTCTGTCTTCTCCATCCCCAGTGAGTCGTGGCGGATGGCTGCTTATACTGAGTCGGGAACCTCTGGAGGTTTCTTCCTAATAAAAGGGAGTTTTCCTCTCCACTGTCGCTGCATGCTTGCTTAGTATGAGGATTGCTGTAAACAATTTGCTGGGTTCCTTATATAGGAAACTTTTTTCTGATTGGCTTAACGAATTTACCTGAATTGGAATGTTTATTATGTAAAGTGCCTAGATACGATGCTTGTCGTGATTTGGCGCTACATAAATAAACTTGAATTGAATTGAAATTGAAAAGTTAAATAAGAAGATGATTATGAATCAAACCCCCCCACCCCCATCCCCCCTTCCTCGAGCAGCTGCTGACGAGCCAGAAGGTCCAGCTCCTTGTTGGTGTTGGAAACACAAACACACACAAGACTGGTGAGCTCACTCGTGTAAAGTTTGTGAACATATAATCACCCAATGAACAGCATCAGAATGTTTTATGGACTCCCACAGCTCTCTCTCTCTCTCTCACTCTCACTCACACACACACACACACACACACACACACACACACACACACACACACACACACACACACACACACATCCAGGTCTCTGCATGCGTCCCGGGGTCTCCAGGCATAGCCGATACTCAAGAGCCAGTAAGAGTCTACTACATGGTCATTATTCATTCCTCATCTGTGTGTGTGTGTGTGTGTGTGTGTGTGACGACCAAATAGGTCACCTGACTTTCATGGTTCTGATTACTGTTTAAGGTTCTTGGATGAGGTTTAAGTCCTGAACTCCTGACCCAGGATCAGAGCTGAAGAACATCTTAAAGGAACAGGAGAAGAAGTCCTGTTTTGTTTCTTCATCCTACCTCATCAGAGTTTTATTTCCGCTCTGAACTCCATGCAGATGAAAACATTTCTGAGTCAAAGTCATGGTTTGTTTCATCAACCTGCCACTTTACCTTCCTGTGATGTGACTTAGTGAGGGTTTGGCACCAACAGCAACTTGAAACAGGAAAGAGTCTTTTGGCTCTTTGGTGCAAAACCTGCAGCAAAAGTTAAGCATGACTAATGGTGAATGAATGGAGCCCATTTGGTCAGCCATGACATGTTAAAATATTTAAAAAACAAGAATCTAAACTTCTCTCTAATCTGTAGACTCATGACTTTATGAAAGGTTTAATGCATCTTTTTCCATATAATCATCTGAGGAAGGAGGTCAGATGTGAGGGTTGCTTTTCTCTACTGAATTATCAGAGGCTTCACTCAAGCTAATGATTAGTCCTAATTTTAATCTGAGTTTTGGGGTCTTCAGATCAAACCTCAACAGATGTCTACGTGTTCTCCAGCTTGGGACTCACCTTCAGGGCTTCATCTCATTGTGTTTTATAAAGTAACTGGAGCCTCAGTCTCCTTCATCTGGCCTTAGAATAGGAAACATCCAGCTGCTGCAGCTCTTCAGAGCCACACAGATGTGTGTGTGTGTGTGTGTGTGTGTGTGTGTGTGTGTGTGTGTGTGTGTGTGTGTGTGTGTGTGTGTGTGTGTGTGTGTGTGTGTGTGTGTGTGTGTGTGTGTGTGTGTGTGTGTGTGTGTGTGTGTGTGTGTGTGTGTGTGTGTGTGTGTGGGGCAGCAGTAGCTCAACAGGTTGAGCGGGTTTTCCAGTAGTCGGAAGGTTGCAGGTTCGATCCCGGCTCCGGACAGAGAATTCTGCTGTTGTGTCAAACACTTAACCCAGCTTGCCTGCTGGCGGTGGTCGGAGGGACCAGTGCTCGGCAGCCTCAACTCTGTCAGTGTGCCCCAGGGCAGCTGTGGCTACATCGTAGCTCATCACCATCAGTGTGTGAATGGAAGAATGATACACTGTAAAGCGCTTTGGAGTCCTTACTCTGACGGGCGCTATACAAAAGTGGGTCATTTATCATTTATCATAATTTGTGTGTGTGTGTGTGTGTGTGTGTGTGTGTGTGTGTGTGTGTGTGTGTGTGTGTGTAAAAGAGGGAGGAAGATGTGGGCTGAATTATCACTGTTAAATGAGTTGGGACAGAATGACATCACGGCGTAATTAAAGCCGCTCTCTGGAATTCCTGCTCAGGTCTGCTGCAGGATTCTGGAGCACCTGCGGGTTGTTGTGTGTGAGTGAAATATTTTCACTGGACAGAGTTCAAGCTTTGGAGGGAAAGAGAAAAAACGGAGGCAGCCGCATTACGCCATACTCTCCTCACATGGAAAAAAGAAGTGGGATTTAAAGAAGTTGTTACATGGTACCAAGCAGAACAGTTCGCTGGAGAGCAGAAGACGGGTCCAGGTCTCAGAGTCTCACCTGTCCACCATCAGCAGTATGGTTCTGACACCTGACCCTGACCAAATGACTCTTTTAACCCTGTGAGAGTCAGACCCCGTTTCTCTAGCGTTTGGGAGCGAGACGCGCATTTTGGACCTCACGGGTCTGAGGATGAGAAAGGTCACTGAACTTCCCGCGCTCCTGGTGTCGGCTCAGCGGGTCAGATCGTTCTGAAGAGATTTATAGACGATGTGCCAAAAGGCTGCAGAGATTTAGGATGAGAGTGAAGAATCTTCCCCTTCTGCTCAGCTGGACGATAGTCTTCCTGCATCCCGTCCGCGGTTCGCTCAGCAGAACCAGAACCACCTTGGAGCGAACGGGAGGAACCGCTGGCTCTTGGAAACCAGCTCCTCGTGTGCGCGTGAGTGCGCTGCCGACCACAGGTGAGACGAATTTTGCCAGTCAGAAACCAGCGGGGATCTCCGCTGCACCGGGGAGGCTGGACCAGCCGCAGCAGGACGGAGCGCAAAGATCCGCGTGCAGAGAGGCTGTGTGCTCCTGGCGTCCCGCCGCTAAGGCACGTGTTGAAGCGCACGCGCCCGCAGCTGTTAACGCAAATGCTGCCAGGAAAGGAACTGAGACGTTTGGAGGAGGTGGCTCACCGGGGAAAGCCGCTTCCAGGGCGGGCGCAGCAGCCGCCGCTGCGCGCAGCGGGTATGAGCAAAAACAGAGCGCGGCTGTGGAGCGGGGCGTCAGCATCAAGTCACCGAAACCAGGCGCCAGGCAGCCGGTGGTGACCCCTCACGACTACATGCTGTCTCTGTACTGGTCACTGAGCAGCGGAGACGTGAACAGCAGCGCGGCTCTGGCCAACACCATCACCAGCTTTGTGGACAAGGGACAAGGTAACTGTCTCTGTCCTCTATAACGACGACTATAGGCTTTCAAAGGAACAGAAAGAAAGAAAGAAAGAAAGAAAGAAAGAAAGAAAGAAATGAAAAACTGAATAACTTTTCTAGGATTTGGATCCAGTTCTGGGATCAGATGGTTTGGAAGCAGCAGAATGTTCTGTCGGTCATGTTTCAGTTGTAGGGAAACATCACTGCTGCTGCTCACACACAAACCTTACTTAAAACCAACCATTTAGTTCTGAGTGAAGATTTGGTGAAGGAGGGCTCTGTAGACCTCCACAGATCTAGGATCAGTAGGAGAAAGAACTGGATCTTAAGGGAAGGCCTGTGATTGGTTTAGCTCATACTGGAATAAAAGATATTTTAGTGTTTGCATTGAAAACTGTTCTTCTCGACCTCTAGGGTCCCCCAGGGTTCAGTTTTGGGTCCTTAGCTTTTCTCGATCTACATACTTCCTCCAGGCATCATTCTAAAAAAACTTAGTAAACTATCACATTTAATGCCTGGCAAGCCCGACTAAATAATATATTATTAAGTCCGGCAACACTCCATCGATGGCTCTCGGGCTCTACCGTTGCCTTTCAAACGATCTCCGCACGCTACTGGACAATGAACAACGTGGCATACTCACCACAACGGATGTCGATAAACGAGGTTGTAGAAGGTAAAAATACATCCTTTTTCTAAATAAACAACTTAAAAACGTGTATCTGCTCCTGGTTCAATAAAGCCCAAGTCCCAATAGTCCAGAATTAATGTAAAACCCATTTAAAATGAGCGGTCGCCATTTTTTTCCACTCTTGCATCATCCCGCCCACCAGACAAACAGAGGTCCGTGATTGGTCCACAAAGCAGATAGGTCACTGTGATTGGTCCACAAAGCAGATAGGTCACTGTGACCGGCCCACCATTGTGGACCAATCACAGCGCTCTATCAGTTTGAAACCCCTCTAGAGAGCTGTGATTGGCCAGCCAGAATGCTGCTAGGGGCTGCAGAGGTTCTAGTGGAGCGTTCCTAGACCAAAGTTTGGTCAAGTTCACTAGACTAGTTCTGGGCTAGTTCACTAGGCTACACATGTATGCAGATGACTGACTACTACTATGTCAGCCCAAGCTCTCCTGCAGTCTGTGTTCAGGATCGTTCCTCTGTAATTAAAACCTGTTTTTCCTCTAATTACCTTCATCTAAATGAGGACAAACCCAATGCTATTGTAATAAAAGTAGCCGTGGGCAGCACGGGCAGAATATCTTGCCCTCCGGTCAGAACCTGAACACACCACCAGTAGGCAACGACTTATAAAAGACACACTTTATTGCACAACCAATAATAAAACACAACGATAAAACACCATGGCCCAAGCCCTCTCTTGTAAAACCAACTGTCCAGCATGAGTCACGTAAGCAGCGGTACTTAGCTGTCACGGATGGTGTGACCCCCGTCCCCGGGGTCTGAGCTTCCAACGCCGTCCAACGCCCCGGGGTGTAGCTTGCGAGGACGGCGGGTAAATCCACAACATAAGTCCACTGCCAGAGTCCGTAGCGGCAGATGTCGGCGCGGCCTTGGCATCACCTATGCCCAGCCCTAACTGTCTAAAGAAGGCGACCAGCCTTCCCTCCTGGCGCTGGAACACTAAACACCTGTTCAGCTATCTTCGTCGCCGGCAGCCCTACCCGGCTGCGAACGACCCCTCCCCCCAAAGTCCGATGCCACAATGACAGGTCGACCACGCACCCCTCTCAGCAGACCTGTCACCTTTTTATCCTCCCTGGCCTCGTTATCCATAACGAGGACCAGCTGGTGTCCAATCACCACACCCTCAGAGCCCGGCAGCTTCCGTCTTCTGCCCATCACACTCTCCCCTTCTTTGTCCTGAAGGACTCGCCCTCGAGTCCTAGATCTCCACATGATAATCCTTATGCCAAACAGGGGGTCTCCTCTGACGAACCACGCGTTGCTCCACAGCTCCAGGTCCCTCGACCTTCTCAGGGATACGTCCTCCCGATCCTCTTCCAACCGCACCCCCTCGAGCAGCCTCTCCATGCAATGGGGCAGGGTTGCTTGAATCACCGGAGCCCTTCGTCTCCGAAAACCGTTGAGCACTCCTGCTGATGTCCTCCCAGGTGGCATCCGGCTGATGAACCACCCGCTGTTCCGCACGTCTGTCGATCTCCCCAGGGAGACGTCCTTCCGGTCCTCCTGCAGCAGCACCTCCTCGAGCAACCTCTCCATGTGATGGGGCCGGGTCACTTGCGCCGCCAGACCTGCTTGTCTCTGCAGACCGTCGATGAACCCTGCTGGTGTCCTCCCAGGTGGCATCCTGCTGACGCAGACTCTGCCGCGCTCTCTCTCGGGACCCCACAGCCATCGGTGCTGCAACTAGTGGAAGAGAAGTGCACAGCTTAAGTCGGTTGAAATGAATCACACTCTCAGGACCCCCCTCAACGGGTACTAGCCTGTATAACACGTCTGTCACCCGCTCGAGGACCCTAAACGGTCCCCTATCTCGCCTCTGAAGCCTGGGACACACCCCTTGTCTCCTCAGCTTATTTCTGACCCACACTAAGTCACCTGCCGCGTAGAACCGGCGGGAGGCCCTAAAATCATGTGCCCTCCTTTGTTGCACCGATGCTCTGCCCTGATGGCACTTCACCGCATCCACCATCGTAGTGAATGTTTCCTTCAGCCTCGTCACATACTTGTCTACTGAGGCAAAGGCTTCACCTATCCTGGCCTTCAAGTACCCAGCATTGCCTCTTCCTACAGGGGTCTCAACAACAGAGAAGGGGGCGGGCATTTGACCCACGATACACGCCCCCTCTAGTTTCCCTGCACGTAAGGGCAGTCCCGACGTAAATGCCGGTTACAGCCACACTCCCAGCAGCCTCCAAACCTCTCATTTCCTTCCCTCCGGGAATATTCTTGCCTAGGCTGCAAGGTTGTGTTCTGAGCGTCACGACGGTGGGGACTAGATGCAGCAGGTACTGACAGTGTGTGCACCACTTCCTGGAGGGATTTCACCTCCTGTCTCAAGCTCTCAATCACCCCCATTAGTGAAGCAATGCTTTTATCATCAGCATCTTTCACAGTTATCCCCCTCACTCTTGCGTCCGATACTGAGCTGGTCTCCAAGCTCCTAATGAGCTCAAGCTCCGCCGCCAGGTCGATGGCTGCTTCAAGCGACGCGGGCTTGGCGCTCCGTAAACACACTCTCATGTCTCCATTCCCCACATGAGCTATAAACTGATCTTTAGCCAACATGTCTCGTATATTGGGATCCACTGTCGGATAAGCTTTAACGACAACCCGTCGTAATGCCATCCCAAATTCTCTGACACTTTCATTATGCCACCTGCGTCGAGCGGCGAAAACAGCCCTATTCCAATCAGCGCTGTCACACGGATCCAAACACTTCCCCATTTGCTCTTTTAACACGGCATAATTAGCTTTAACGCTCCCCGACAAGCCATTGTAAACCTCTCGAGCCTTGTCAGACAACAGAAGACACAGAAACTTCAGCTTAAGGGGCTCATCCCAGTTATTTACATCGGCTGCCATTTCAAATTGTCCAACCCAGTCTGCCCATTCGCGGCCAACACCGGAAAAGCTCTCCGGCATAAAAATCGTCCGAGCTGCTGTGCTCACGGGCTGATTTTCAGCTAGTCTCAACGGAGGAGGTGTGTTATTTTCAGGTTCTGACATTTTGGATTGCTAGATCCCACTTCTGACACCAGTGTAATGAAAGTAGCCGTGGGCAGCACGGGCAGAATATCTTGCCCTCCGGTCAGAACCTGAACACACCACCAGTAGGCAACGACTTATAAAAGACACACTTTATTGCACAACCAATAATAAAACACAACGATAAAACACCATGGCCCAAGTCCTCTCTTGTAAAACCAACTGTCCAGCATGAGTCACGTAAGCAGCGGTAATTAGCTGTCACGGATGGTGTGACCCCCGTCCCCGGGGTCTGAGCTTCCAACGCCGTCCAACGCCCCGGGGTGTAGCTTGCGAGGACAGCGGGTAAATCCACAACATAAGTCCACTGCCAGAGTCCGTAGCGGCAGATGTCAGCGCGGCCTTGGCATCACCTATGCCCAGCCCTAACTGTCTAAAGAAGGCGACCAGCCTTCCCTCCTGGCGCTGGAACACTAAACACCTGTTCAGCTATCTTCGTCGCCGGCAGCCCTACCCGGCTGCGAACGACCCCTCCCCTCAAAGTCCGATGCCACAATGACAGGTCGACCACGCACCCCTCTCAGCAGACCTGTCACCTTTTTATCCTCCCTGGCCTCGTTATCCATAACGAGGACCAGCTGGTGTCCAATCACCACACCCTCAGAGCCCGGCAGCTTCCGTCTTCTGCCCATCACACTATTCTCTTCGCACCAAAATCAGATGCTAACCCACACTTGGACCTGTCCTTTCTCTCCGTTCAGCTCAAGCCTTGCATCACCTGCCTGGGCCAAAAGTCAGCTCCAAAGGCAACCGAAATACGTCCGTAATTCTCCACTACCGATTTATGCATTTACAACACAGAAACCTTTTGCAAGCATTAGTTTCTGGAATGGTCAGAGGCAGAGCACCATCCATTTCCTTTTTGCTATGCTAGCCTGATGCCGTGTCAGCATTTTCAGAAGATAATTGTGGAAAAATTGTTGAATCTGAACTTTTGAATGAGGCTGTGGCACAAAGCTACATGCACTACACCAGGCCCTCAAATTAGACTGGACTGAACTGGAGCAGTTGGTGTGCTGTTCACGACCGTGTTTCGTGTACCTCAGTCATGGTTGTTCTGGTCCAGCGCATGTCGAGTACAGCAGGTGGCAGATGTCATGTCCCGAGACAACGACGGGTGTTTCAGAGTCAGGTTGGTTATCGAATCACTTCTCCCCAAATTTCAGTCAACCTGAGGGAAAGAGATGTTTCCAGAAGGTTTGTGTTCTCGTTCATTGCTTGTTTTGGGTTTTTTATGTTCGTTGGTTTATGATAG